TTAGACTACCCCCAAATAAAAACAAAAAATAGGCAACTAAAATGAATACACACCTGTCAGAGAAGAAGTACAAATGACCAATAAATACATGAAAAATGTTTAACATCTCTGTCCACTAGAGAAATGCAAATTAAAACAACCCTGAGTTTCCATCTCACTCCAGAAAGAAAGGCTATCCATCATCAAGAAGTCAAACAACAAATGCTGGAAGGTCATGTGGAAGAGGAACACTTCTACACTGTAGATGGAAATGTAAACTGTACAACCACTATGAAAATCAATATGCAGACTCCTCAAAAAATTAAAGCTAAAAATTCCATTCTACCCAACTTTCCCCTTCTATGAATCATCTGGAAAGAGTTAAATACATCGTATTACAGTGATGCATACATAACAATTTTTATAGCAGTGTGATTTAATAGCTAAATCTTGGAAGTGGCCCATATGTCCATCAACAAATGAATGGTTGAAGAAAATGTGGCATTTGTATTCAATGGAGTGCTACTCTGCCATCAAGAAAAATAAATTTGAGTTGTTTGTAGGAAATTGGATGCATCTTGAGATCGTAATGCTAAGTGAAATAAATCAGACACACTAGCTTAAATATTGTGTGGTTTCTTTCTTATGAGAAACCCAAAATATAAATAAAGAGCAAAATAAAAGATAGGTAATATGAAACAGAAAAATGTTTTGCAAAAGGAAAGGGATCAAAAGAAGGAGAGTGAGGAAAAGAAGGGGAGGACAAGAGGATGAAAAAAGAATTAAGATGTGTTATGTACATGTACCAAAAACCCATGGTGACTGTCATCATTATGTACTGCAAACATGTAACAATAAAAATAAAAATTTAAGAAGATAAGTTTTCAGTTAAGTAATGAAATTAGGAAAGGCTTCTACTTAAAGATGAGGTTTTTGTAGTTAGCCTTGAAATTTGGATTTGGTTTCTTTTTTTAAAGATTTTTTTAACTTTTATTTTTTTATTAGTATATATTTGCCACACATACTGATCAGATTCATCTTAGGGAATTTGTACCCATACATAAAACATTTTAATTCTTTTTTTCCTATTCCCCCACTCTTTCAACCCTTCTTACACTGACCATTTATTCAAACTTTGTTTCCATTTTTTCCTTCCATTTTTGTTCTTTTCTATTCCTTCCTTCCTGCTTCCAAATTCTGCTTTCATTTGAACATATTCTTCTTACTTCCCATTATCTACCCCATTATGTTATTACACT